ATATGAAGTGGAGGTAATAGGACTTTCTTTGTGTCAACCAAACTTTCACGTTCAATGTTTTTCGTATCCTGGTATCAGGCTGACTCTTTGTGGCCATTGCTTCTTTATCCAGTGCTGATTTCGTGCTCTGCTGCCCCATTCACACATGGAAACTTTGTGTAACGGGATTGTTGACCCAACAACATACAAAGGACTTTGAAGTCTCCATAAAGTAGCCAACCATGTTCTATGTAGTTTATTAAGATGAAGTTCGAGATTTTTGTATGTTTCCTTCAAGTGAACAGAATGACCAATAGGAACAGATGCATATATATTACTATTGTGAAGTAGAACACCTTTTAGACTTCTTGTGGAGGAATCAATGAACAATCACCACTCACTTGGTTCATAGACTGCAGCTCCTAGCATTGGTATTAATTCAGAAATATTGTTGCAATAAACCAGTGTACCTTTTTGCTAAAAGTATGGCATAAACTCTTTCTCATGATTTCTGTATATCAGTAAAATGATGTCCTTGGAGAAAGTAAGTTCTTAGCCCGAAGTCTGGACCCCAAAACTCTCTGAAGAATCCTTTAGAAGGTCCATATCTCTCTCCAAGTCATTAAGTTCACCTTGTGTGAAAAGTTGTGGTTCACTAGACATTTAAGGTTGAAAACAATCCCTATCATCATTTCTGTTGACATCAGATGAAACTGTATCAAGAGTCTCCGGTGGAGTAGGTACAGGTACATCAGGGCCACAAGCAACAGGTCTTATAGCAGACTGAAGGTTCAGATAAGAAATTTTCTTTTTAGTTTGAGTGTTGTAGCCTTGCACATTACATGAGCAAAAATAGCAGTTATCTCCATGGTTTCTAGGCTCATTACAGACTACTGGAATTCCAAAAGGCAAATATTTTTTCTTATCTTTAGTCCATTGTCTCAACTCTTCGACGCAAATGCTGCAAGCTTTGTGCAGAGCCCATGATTTGTCTTGGTTCCCAAGTTTTATTCCAAAGTATGCTTAATACACTTTATCAAATGCTGTAATGTTTTACCTTTGTTTCTTTACCACAAATATAACAGAATAAGTTTGAGTCACTTACACAACATCTTGTTGCCATAGTGATGAATAATATTGAAAATAAAAAAATAATGTAAAAGTCAACCACAAACAAATACTATCCAGAAATGACATGTCATGCAGCCTGTTAACTGTTTATATATTACATACTATCCAGAAATGACACATCATAAGGCCTGTTAACTGTTTATATACTAACAGTGTGTTTGTATTGGGTTCTAGAACGATCGATAACTCTCACTTCGCGATTGGTCTAGAAAAATCAATAGCCAGTGGTTGTCGACATTTTAAGTATAACAAAATGTGACCCGATTTCAATGAACATGATTCACTTATGTAAAAGTACATATGACGTTTTGTGAAAAATCTGTACATGATGGAGAAAAATGGATATCATTTTCGGATTCAGGGAACATGAATTACTGTAGAACAAGTAAAAATTTCAAGACAATAAAACCATCGCAGACCTATGTTATGTTTCAAAATCTATATCTTTGGTTAAATATAGATTTAGCAAAATTTCAATTTGAAGTTTTAATCTTCATGAAATAAAACACAAAAATATAGCTCTAAACTTCTACTAAAGGACTTCTAAACTGTATTCTTGAGAGTTTTAGGGACTTTTGTGAGTATGGATTTTGAACGAATACAGTACAATTAACAGCATATCCTTTTCAAACCAGTTTCTAATGAACCAAAAAATTAATTTGTTTCACTAGTATATACTTGGAGATTGTTATTTTACATTCTAACATCAATACTCTTATTTCTCAGGTTTTAGATACACGGGATCTTACTATCAAAAATGTAGTAGATAAATCAACCGACAAACCATTGAACTACAAATGTGGAGAGCCAGTCCTCACTTTTGGTTCCAAGCTGGAAATTGAGCTCCCAGAAAATATGGAAAATCGGTATCAATTGTTTGCTTAGAAAATAACCATGTAAAAGTTATTTTACAGAGAATATAGAAGACATTATTTGTTTAGCTTCATGGATGTCAGGCAAATTATACAATGTTTAAGTTGATTGGTCAGGTGCAGCAGTAAAACAGAACCAGACTATTAGGCCTAACTTTCACACTTTTTTTTTTTTCCTAATTTTTTTCAAATCTTAGCCATCTTTATCGTCTGTTCAGTTTTTCAACAAAAAAAGACATTTCCACATTAATTTCTTATAATAATTAATTTTTAATTAATTAATCATTAATTTTTTATAATATTCTGATCCCTTGGACACTTGACGTCAGCTCAAAGTAACATAAAACAACAAAGGTATGTAATGATAAGACTTATTTCCTGTCCCTTTTGCTCACTTTACATGACATGGTACAGTTATCGTGGTAAAATACACCACAAAGAAACTCAATTAACAAAATATAGAAACATTATTGAGTGCCAGCATGGATTAACTTAGGTGAGACTATTTGGTTCTAGCCCTCATCCTATAAGCCCAAATTTCATGTTAGTATAATTGTGGTAGCAGTTGTTGATAGACTGTTGGCATTTTAAAAGATAAAGCTATAAATCATTCTGTCTTAAAGTAAATATGACAAACATTGTGAGAAAGAACCACAAAATGACAACTACCATGTAAAACTGAGACGTAATACAAATTTCCTTAATTCCAATGTTTTGTGATTAATAATACCAGGTTAACTTAGTGAAAATTGTATAGTTTTATGTTTATCTGAAATAAGTTATCTAATTGTTGAAATTGAAAAAAAATGTAATGTATTTAAAATGTCTTTTTTCTTTTGTTGGTTCTAAGATAGTGTCATTCTAGTGGAAAAATCTTATCTACCAACAACTACAGCATTACTTTCTACTTACAGGAAAGAGTTTAGAGTATTCTATGAGACCATTCCAAGTAGTAGTGCCCTTCAGTGGCTAATACCAGAACTAACAGCAGGAAAGAAACATCCTTACCTCTACAGCCACAGTGAGGTGAATTTTTTACATTGTGATAAACTTGATACTCAATCTTAGTTTTATAATTTTTTCTGCATTGTAGAATTTCCATCAAAGTTACTTACCAAACATCAGAGACTGCCAGTGCCCTCCAGTGGCTGTCCAAAGAACTAACTGCAGGCAAACAGCAACCTTATATGTTCAGTCAATGCCAGGTATACATTTTATTAGTAATACCACATACAGTTTTTTCTAATTAATTCTGATATATGCACTGTGGATCACCCATGCTAAAGAAAGTTACTTTGTTATTTGCATAAACATATGGAGGAAGAATATTGTAAAAATTAGGATTAGTTATCTTACCACTTAAAGAAAGATTTTTCGTCAACTAACTGATCAAGTTTACCTCACTGGTCAAATAATGAGCTGTTTGTTGATCAGCTGGCAATATTACTCTACTGGTCAAATAAGGAGTTATCAGCCATTGTGAAAACACTTTATATGTATTAAAACTTGTTCTTGATAGTGGCTACAAGTTGGCAATCACCTGATTTGGAAATGCTTTGGTAGAAAATCTGTATTATAACTGTTTCTTATATAAAATAGTTTTTGGTAGCATGCCACTATTAGAATGTTAAATTGTATAAAATGTCAGTTATAGTCAGACATGTTGTGTTTGTTTAGCAGTAGGAAGATAACATAACACAGGAGTTATAGTCAGACATGTTGTATTTGTTTAGCAGTAGGAAGATAACATAACAGAGGAGTTATAGTCAGACATGTTGTATTTGTTTGGCAGTAGGAGGATAACATAACACAAGAGTTATAGTCAGACATGTTGTATTTGTTTAGCAGTAGGAAGATAACATAACACAGGAGTTATAGTCAGACATGTTGTATTTGTTAGCAGTAGAAATATAACATAACACATGAGTTATGATAATGTATTTGATAATCATGTCTAAAAATCTTGTTTTTCCCTCTTCATGTGTAGGCTATACATGCTCGTTCTATGCTTCCTTGTCAAGACTCTCCTGGAGTTAAGAGTCCATATACGGCTGTGGTAAGGTTCTTGTTATGTAACTGTCTCTCCCAAACTAGTAAACCCAGTAATATCTATTGTAGGTTCCACAAATAATACACATTTATATAGTTTACTTGGTAGCTTTATAAATATCTGTTTAACGTGTAGTATGCATTTATATAGTTTACTTGGCAGCTTTATAAATATCTGTTTAATGTGTAGTACGCATTTATATAGATTACTTAGTAGCTTTATAAATATCTCTTTAATGTGTAGTATGCATTTATATAGTTTACTTAGTAGCTTTATAAATATCTGTTTAATGTATAGTATGCATTTATATAGTTTACTTAGTAGTTTTATAAATATCTGTGTAACGTGTAGTACGCATTTATATAGTTTACTTAGTAGCTTTATAAATATCTGTTTAACGTGTAGTACGCATTTATATAGTTTGCTTAGAAGCTTTATAAATATCTGTTTATTGTTTAATATAAATTATACATCATTAAACTTGGAAGGCAGCAAGATTTCTCCATTATTTTCATGATTGTTTTAAAACAAATATAACAGACATGTTGTGCATTTGTTTCCACAATAAAGAAGTATAGAATTAGAAAGGTTGAAAATCAGTCTACATAGTTTTAAACTTGTGTGTAGACAACTGCTGATGTGTTTCCAAACATAAGTAAATAATCTGTTTTACTGGTTGTGGAGGGTGTAGCCAGGTAGTTAATATACCCCTACTTTGATTCCAAAAAACATGCTGTACACTTTGGACTGTGTGTGTGAACTATAATAAGAATGACAGTCACATCTCACTATTCAGTAAGACCAAAATAAGCTGCAGGTGCAGTTGACTCGTTACCTTTCCTCTAATAAAACAGATAAAAATTAGGCTTTTATAACTTTAACTAAATTCTAAAACATTACACTTCCTAATCTTGTAATGAATGAGTATTTCTGTACAGAAGTTTTCCGAAAAGTTGAGAATACATTAAAGTCTAATTGTTTACTTTTGATGTTTTAATTTATTTGTTACCCTAAGATGCGATAGATTATAATACAAACAGTTTTTGGCCAGTTGTACAGATATCAAGTAGTTACAAAATTATCTGAACCAGTTAAAAGCTGAAAAGTTAAAAAAAAAGTTTTTCTTTTAGGTGCGAGTTCCAAAAGATTTGGTTGTTCTGATGAGTGCTGTGCGTGATGGAGAGGAAGACTGTGAAAACACAAACCTGAAAGCTTTTAAGTTTACCCAGAAGGTCAGTTCCACAAGCTTCCAAACAGATGGAGCTGTATTTTACTGTTGTTCCAAATATTCTGTCAATGATGAACTGTCCAATGTTGGACGGTGATGAATTATGATCCTAAGGGTTTGATGAACCATCCAATGTTGAATGGTGACGAACTAAGATCCTAAGGGTTTGATGAACTGTCCAATGTTGAATGGTGATGAACTATGATCCTAATAATGAGCTGTCCAATGTTGTACGGCGATGAATTAAGATCCTAAGGGTTTGATGAGCTGTCCAATGTTGTACGGCGATGAATTAAGATCCTAAGGGTTTGATAAACTGTCCAACATTGGATGGTGATGAACTATGATCCTAAGGGTTTGATGAACTGTCCAATGTTGGATGGTGATGAACTATGATCCTAAGGGTTTGATGAACTGTCCAATGTTGAATGGTGATGAACTATGATCCT